GTGGGGGTCCTGGTGCAGGGGGGAGGGCTTCCAACTCCCTAGCTTTGCGCAGCTTCTCGCGCTTCCGCTGGATGGCAGCAACTCGTTCACGTACTGCGCGGGCCACTGGCTGGTAGTCAGCTTCACAGACTAGACCCAGGGCCACCTGGAGTTAAGAGGGCGAGGAGCACGGTTTGAGGTGAGGACTCCACTCAAAGACCCATCAGGACACCTTCTTGAGGCCTCGGGATATTTCTCCTGGAGAAAGGACACTAATATTTATTGATCATGCACCATGTCCATTAACTGACAACTCTTTACATTGTCATCGTTAAATCCCCCCAACAACCTTCTGAAGTGGGCTTAGCCCTGTTTTAGAAATAAGTAAAGCCGTGACTAGTTCATGGTTATCTAGTAGATCAACTGCTCTCAGGGGTAAGGGGGAACATTTGGCAATATTTGGAGACACCTGTAGTTGTCACACCTCAGTGCTACTGGCATCTAGTGAGTGGAAGCCAGGAATTCTTCTCAACATCCTACAATACACAGGACAGTCTCCCAACTAAAGGTATCAATAGTGTGTCATCATCAAGAATCCCCTGTTTGGGGCACCTGGGTGGGCTCAGCTGGTTGAGCAGCTGACTCTTGATTTCAGTTCAGGTCATGATCTCAGGGTCATGGGATCAAGCCTAACGTGCTGAAGATTCTCTCTCTCCTCCTCTCTCTTTGCCCCTTTCCTTCTGTTCCCTCTCTCTCTCTCTCTCAAATAAAAAGTGGGGGGCACCTAGGTGGCTCAGTCAGTTAAGCATCTGACTCTTGATTTCAGCTCAGGTAATGATCTCATGGTTCATGAGTTCAAGCCCCCATCTCAGGCTCTGCGCTGACAGTGTGGAACCTGCTTGGGATTCTCTCTCTCCCTCGCTCTCTGCCCCTCCCCAGCTTGTGTGCCAACATATATGCATTTTCTCTCCCTCTCTCTCTCAAAAATACATACATAAATAAACATTAAAAAAAAAAAAAAAGAAAAGAATCCCTGTACATAATGGATCAAGATTTGATCCTAGGTCAGGTTTGAGCTGTGCTAAGGACACCTGTTCTGCTACATTTAAAAACACATTCTCAGGTTCCCTATCCAGACCTACCATAGAGGATCCCCACACTTTCAACTGCCGGTCTTCTATCAAGAACCTCATACTCTCTCCCCTTCTCAGGCCTTCCTAAACAGTCCTGCATCTTCTCTCTCCCATGCATGCCTCTCCTGCGCTGGCAGCTTCTGTTCATCAACTCCTTATTCATCTCAAACTTTGCAGCACATGTAAGGGAGGTGGGACAGGGTGATCTGACTTAAGATCTGAACAGCCTGAGTTTAAATCCAGCTCTGCCACTTACTTGCTCAGGACCTTGGACAAGATATTCAACCTCTCTGAACCTTCCATTTCCTCATCAATACATCAGGATAAAATCACTCCCGGCAGGGTTGGTAACAACAATCGAATGCATGTGAAAGTGCTCTAAGCCATGTACAAATGTGGGATTATTAATGAGCTCCAACCATGTGCCGAGCACTGTCAGAGATAGAAAAATCAATAGAACACAGTCTCTGCCCTCAAGGAATTTATAGTCCAGTGGAGGAGAGAGACAGGAGTGTATCCTGGTATAAAACAGGACCAATGGTGGTGGGTCCTGTAATGGAGGACCTGTTGAACTGGAACGAAGCATTTAATTTTGACCCTAGAGGGGACAGGTTTCCTGAAATTCCTGGTTCTGAGCACGGAGGAAGAAAGAGGGGAGGAAAAAAAAAGACCAAGGCGGGGGGTGGAAAAGAGAAAAATAAATAAATTGGAGAGAAGAGCATTCCAGGGAAATCAGAGCAGCAGGAAGCAGAGCAAAGCAGGCTGGAGGACCCAGGGCTTGCTCTGGAAAAGGAAATGTGCTGTGAGCCCGCACTTGGGGCGTGCGTGTGTTTAGGCGCGCGGGCCAGGGGGACACTTACCAGACGCTCTGAGAGGGGCAGGTTGCGTGCCCCTCCCACCACCCTGGCGCCCCACCCGCATGGCACTGACAGGCCGCGCACAAGCCCAGGCGCAGGGCAGTTTGTCCTCTGCTCACCATCTCCTGCGCCACCTCCTCTGCCGCGTCCCGGCCCAGTTGGAACAGGAACTCTATGGCCTGGTTGTCCCGCGGGCGCCCCCCGCGCCGCGCGTCCTCCATGCGCAGCCAGAGCTTGAGGCCGGGCTTCTCGCCGTCGTCCTCCTCCGCCAGCTCCACGTGCACGCCGCGCTCCTCGCGGAAGAAGGCGTGAGCCAGGAGGTCCTGGATGGTGAACCTGGGGGGAGTGCTGGGGTGAGCCGAGCCTTGCCGCCGTCCCCCCACCCCTGCCCCGGCCCCTGAATCCACCCCCACCCTGCCCCCTCCACCCCACCTCTCGTTCTTATCTGTGCGGATGCAGCCTTCAATGATCTCCTTCACCTCAGGCATCTTCACCTTATAGAAGCTGTTCGGCTTTGTGCCCTAGAGGAAAGGGGGCGCATGAGGCCTCCAGGCCTCTGCGCCCCAGCTCTCTGCTTGCCCCTCACCCCGTCTGGGGCAGCAGAGCATGCAATCGCAAAGGCACCGCGACAGCTACTGGACGGTTTGATTTCAAATCCCAGCCCAAGTATTGACAGTATGACCTTGAACAAGTCTCCCAGTGTTGTGCCAGTTTTCCCATTTGTAAAGCGCAGGGCAGGACGAGACGCCCTGCTCACGCTGCGGGTAAAAGATCAGATGTGAAATCGTTTGCAAACTCTAGAGAGTGCTACACACATCATTATTCTAAACAGCTAGTAAGGGGATAGGGCGTGTGTGCATCCAATATCCTTCAGTGTTTACCAGAGCATCTTTGCGTCTAGCCTGCTTTCTTTAAGGGAAAGGGCATTGACGCGGGCTGGTAAGGGTCGGAAAATGGGAGGAGATCTGGAATTGTCTCCCCTCCCCGTCCCCTCTCACCGAAGTGACTTTGCGGTAGATTTGCGCGGCATTCTGGCACTCGGAGTAAGGGTACTCTGAGGTAGCCATCTCCAGCATGCACATGCCAAACGCGTACACGTCCACCGCCTCATCGTACTTTTCCTCGTACATCTCCGGGGCCATGAACTCCGGGGTCCCTGTAGGATCCACAGCAGGCATTAGGCTGCAGAGCCTCCCTCTGGCTTCCTCTTTCCTCTTGGGCGTACCACAGGCTAGGTGGGAGGGAGGGGGGAGGACGGGGAGGGAGAGCAACCTCACGAGTTCTGGAGTGCTAGTAACGGACCCTTCCCCACCGTGTGTGGGAGGGGTGCGGGGCAGAGAGGATGCCATAAGTCTCCCCACTTTCCCCATGCTCTTGTAACTCCGTGCAACTCCAAGGACCCTGCTGGGGAGAGTGGGCCCCCAGGGTCTCTTCTAACGCGGGGGAGGTAGGAATAGCAAGGACCTCCTGGAGGAACGCACCTATCACGCTCTTGGCAAAGGAGGCGCGCTTGAGCGTGGCCAGGCCCAGGTCCCCGATCTTGACCGACCCTGAAGGGCCAGTGATAAAGACGTTGTCGCACTTGAGATCCCGGTGCAGGATGGGGGGTACCCGGGTGTGTAGGAAATGAAGCCCCCGAAGGATCTGGCGGCTCCAGCGCTGAAGAACTCTCGGCTTCATCTCACGGAACCGCCTCAGGTATCTGGGGGAGGGGCGCAGAGCCAGGGTCGGGGGCGAGACATCATGGGGGGGAGGAGACCCCCACTGGGAAGTTACCCTAGTTCCACCGGCACCGCCAGGTACACATTTTCTCCCAGCATTATTCTAGCTCAGTCCGCGGTGCGCCCCACAGAGAAACTGAGTCGGGGGTGTGGTAGTAGACCCGAGATTACAAATGCAATAGTATTACATACCACAGATAAGACATTATGCACATTATTGGAGATGATTATTAGACCGATGATATAGGATTTTGAAGAAAATACCATTTATTATTATGATTCTTTTATAAGAGATATAGGGTGTGTGTAGTCCTGCAGCAAGGCTATGCGGGGTAGGATTTTGGACTTCCTCACGCCAAATTCTAGGACACCGTGTTATTCAAAAGAAGACGAGCAGATGCGCGCATGTGGTGATAGGCGGGGAAAGGAGGTATTCTTCGGGAATCAGGTGCCCTCCGCAAAATTCCAGAGGTCGCAGCATGGCGTCGTTCCGGTATGGACCGCGCAGGCAGGTTAAAGCGCGCGATTCTCCTTCCACCCTGGCGGGGCGCAGCGTAAAGCGTCTTAGGTGTGTAGGCTTCCCGGGGCAAGCCGAGGAAGAGCAACAACGTAACGCGGTGATTGCGTTAATCGCCCCAGCGTGCGAAAGGCATGGGAAATATTCCCTAGGGGAAGAATAACAGGTACGGCGTTAAGATTCCGGGTGATCCAACTGGCGGCGCGCTGAAGCGGTGGTACACGCATGTAAACGTTAAAAGTATAAGATACCTTCAAAGAATAGACGGTCAGGATCATGGCGGTAAAGCGCGGATGAATTGCAGCAATGGCACGCGCGAAGAGCGAACTGTAGTATATCGCCCGGAACGCCTGTCACCGGAGCCACGCAGCGCATTCACTCTGTTCCACCGCATGATCAGGGAAGAGGGAGATTTGACCTAAATTCGCTTGGGGAGCCTGGGAGAAGTTTCAGAAGGAGTGGGGACCTCCCACCACCAGTTCACCCACCAACCAACACTTGGTCACTCAGGCGCGCAGAGCTCACGCCTGAGCTGCCGAGGTCACAGGTGAGTTCGGTGACCAGTACGATGCAAACCTGGACCTTCAGCACCGACTTCCACGAATCGTAGAAGCGGACGATGTTGGGATGTTGCAGCCCCTTGAGCATCTCCACTTCCTCAGAGAATCGCTGCCGCTCCGTTCGAGAGAGTTTCCGAGTCTGTGGGGGTAGGGGATGGGTGGGAGTCAAGATCGTCATCAGGCCCAGACCTCCCCCCTGGCAGAAACGAGGAAGGGCCTAGGTCGCGAATGGGGCTAGGTCATCGCTCGCCCAAGGAGCTGTATATGCATGGCTACTCCCCGGCCTCGGACCGCCTCAGTCTCAAGCGGTTAAAGGACACGCCCAGCCTGGGGCCGCCCCTGGACCCCCCGCTGGACACAAGGGCCTTTATGCAGCCCCGTCCAGGAGCCCTAAGCTCAATAGCGCCTTTGTGGCCTCCCTGGCCAGCCGTGGGGCGGGAGGGGACGCCCCAGGGGCTGGCAGCGGGCAGGCAGCAGGCGGGCAGCAGGCTGACAGCGGGCAGAGAATTGGGGCCCTCAACGGGGTTGGCCCCAGAAACTGGGAACTGCTAGATCCAGACAGGAGGCCGGAGGGCTGCAGAGGGAGTTACAGAGAGGGAGAGAGAAAGATCCAGGACCAGGAGACCGCCCCCCTGCCCGTCCCTGCCCCTCCTCATATCTCGCCACCCGCCCCCCCACCCCATTGGTTTGGCTGCCTCTCCTTGCCTGGCCTACAGCCTAGGGCGCGCCACTGGCAGGCGCAAGGGGCGAGCCCAGCGCCAGGGCTGGAGGGGAGGACCCTTACCCAGGCTCTGCCCAAAGCTGCTGCTGGCCCAGATTTAACTGGGTTCTTCCCTCCATGAGAAGAAATCCTTCACACCAACATCCCCCTAAAGCCCATTGGGTTCAGTGCCTTGGGTCTGGGAAGGGAGAGCCCAGGTAGACAGTGGGATGAGGAGAAGGACTGGATTCAGGCCAGGGCTGGAACTCTCTGTCTCCCCCTCCCCCAGTTGTGGAGAAGTCTAGAAGTCTGACTGTTCCAGAAGGGGCCTGGGGAGGGCCCCGTCCTGCTACCACCACTCTAAATCTTTTGGAAATGGAGAGGACCCTGCCCCAGCTTCTAGCTTCCATCATCCCAGCCTCCTAATCTGCAAAGATCCAGGGTGAAGGAGGAGGACCAGGGTCACACTGAGTGTCTCAGTACTAAGGGGAACGGGAAAGGAAGAGATTGTTACTACTGAGGGAAATTGGTCCCCCTCAGATCCAAACTGGCTCCCTCCCCGATTTAGCATCCTATCTTCCACCTCTCAGGGTTGAGTACAGAGACTTCAAAGTTAAAATGTCCACAACCCATAGGGGAGCTTCCATGTACCCCCTGCCTCAGTTTTTCCTTCTGCAGCCCAGAATCAGTCAGATTCATTAATCATCAGAGCAAGGTGGGGCAGGAGTGTCCAGACATTTGACTGGAAAAATAGATCTCTCCCTTGCTGCTGTCCCCTAGGTTTCTCATCCCCAGACCTCCAAAGGGTCCCATCCCAGGTGCCACAGAGGGGGTGCCCAGCCGCACCTGCAGCTCACACCAGGCCACCTCCACCGTGGTGTCGGTGTCCAGCCCTCGATACACCGTCTTGAACGAGCCACGTCCGATCTCGATGTCAAACTTGAGGTATCGGCCGTCCGGGGACGTTGCCACTGCCTGGGTCTCCGTGTCTTCCTTTTCCTCCTGCTCCCTCTGCCGCTCCCGAGCCGCGGCTTCGGGGACCCTCGGCGGTTCCCGGGACCCCGGGCCTCCTGCCGAGACTGCTAGCTCTGGACGCGCTGAGTCTGCAGCCTTCGCGGGGGCTCCCCCGGTCCACGTGCCCTCGGAGGGTTCTGGGCAGCTAGGCGGTGGGCTTTTCGCGGGGTCGGGTTCAGCGGAGTCCGGAGGCTCAGGGGGCTCCGGAGCGGGTGAGGCTGGCTGGGACCAAGAGCTCAGCAGCCCCAAGTCGACTGAGCTGCGGCGGCTGAGACGGGAAGAGCGCGGCCGGGTCTCAGCCTTCCCGGAGAAGCGGCGCGCCCGGCGAGGAGGGGGCCCGAGGCGGGGCGGCCCCGCGGCAGCGAGAGGCGGCGGGGGCCGCAGGGCCAGGTCGGCCTCCGCCTGGGACATGGGGACCGCAGTCTCGGAGGCCGGGGGTGCCAGCATGAGGAAGGGCCGGCGCCGCAGGGCAGCAAGCCGGGCGGCTGGAGACGAGGCGGTCTGACAGGCGGACTGGCTGGGTGCGCAGCGCTCGGGCTGAGCTACAGGGGCCCCAGTCCCGGCTCGACCGTCCTGCAGCCCCGCCCCCGGCCCCGCCCTCATCCCCCCAGGGCGGCCCCCTCGGAGCGGCCAGCCGCGCGGAATCGGGTGCGCAGCCCCTCACCTCGGCCGCCCCGCCCCCGGCCGCAGGCCCTCCTCTCCCTCGCCTCCCGGTGCACCGCCCGGAGGCTCATTACGAAGTCGACCGGGTGCGAGGCGGCCGTGTGTCCTCCCGCACTAAGAGTGAGCAAACCTGTCGGGGGGCGGGGGTAGCTGGGGGAGGCACGATGCTGGGGTTGGGAGAGGAAACGTGACGGCGGCCCTCCGGCCCTAGAAGCGTGGGGGGAGAGAGGGGTGGTTAAGGGAAGGTTACCACCCGCCTGCAAGCCCCAGATAAGGTAGCGCCACCCCCTCCTGTTCGTCCGGAGTAGCCCCAGGCCGACAATACAGAGGTCAATGGAAAGGTCTGGTTTTCTCCCAAGCCGCTGACCCTCTGGGCTGCACAGGGATGGGTGTGTGCACCCCAGGACAAGTCCCTCCCCCAAGCCAAGGACCCGGTCACCCATCCCCTCCGCCTTCCTACCTTGGCCGCAGCCTATCCCTGGCCACAGTAGCTGTTTTTGCTCTGTGGGCTCTCCTTCCTCCTCCTTCTGTTTGCCCAAGTTCCCAATAAACCAAAGTCCATATCCGGTTTACACCCCTTCAGCTCCCCTTGGCCTCAACTACCCCACCCCGGACCAGTGGGATGGAGGGAGGGGCTTCAGAGCAGTTCAGGACTTTCATGGGGGAGAAGGGGAAGCCATGAAGTTACTCCAATTCAGAAAGCAGTCTGTCCCTAAGCTGTGTTCCATCAGCACTCCCCCACACAGCCCACCCAGCAGATGTAAAACCACAGGCCTCCTGGAGCCTGCCAGCACCGGGGCACCTTTTCATTTACAAAGGCCATAAGCCTCCTCTACCCTCTCCTAGGCTGGGATTCACTGAGGGGGCAACACTTCACAGCCCTCCCTATGCCCATTGTAGTAGTAACTTCCAACAGGAGGCAGTGGGGATGAGCTTTTTAATATCATAAAATCAGTGTCGGGCCTGGCCTCTCACTGCCAGGCCCCTTCCTGGGCCTCCTATCTTCATGTTGCCTGGAAGGCTGCCTGCAGCCAGGGCTTCTCCCATCCCCTAAGAAGGATCCAGCACCAGCCTGAGAGGGGAGGCAATAGCAGCTAAGGGGGTGGGTAGGGGAAGAGACAGAAGCTTGTGCAGGCGTGTGTATGTACTTACGTGTGTGAACACATGTGGAGTTATAGGTTTACAGACCCTGGCTCAGGGACAGTCTAGGATGGGAGAGGAGGTAGGGCAAGGAGAAGCACATCTTTTCTCCCAGGCGCCTCAGCCTCGCCCTTCCCCAGGGACAGAAACGTGGGTAAGTGGGAAACCCATCCTTGGACTGGAGCCCTTTTGAGTCTGGTGGAGTCACAGATCCAGTCTGTGGGGTCACTGGGTCTGTCTCCTTTTGAAAGCCCTGGAAGGGTGGGAGGTAAGAAGTAAAAGGAGACAGGTCTCTGCTAGAAGAACTTGACGCCTCGGCCATCGCTGACAGTGATGATCTCAGCCTTGTGCTCCTGCTGTAGGGCCTGCAGAGCCCGGAGTAGGGTTGCTTCATCCAGCCCATGGAACTCTGGAAGGGAGAGATGGGTAGTCAGGGACACTTGGCTCCTGGGGGCTCAAGGCCCCTGAGGAGAAGTCTAGCTGGAAGCTGGGACCCCTTGAGGCCAGGGTAGACATGTACCACCTATACTGCTGCCGCTGCCACCAATCCTTCCTGGGTACGCCTTAAGAGTAAGGGGTGAGAGAAAGCCAGAGTCTGCACAAAATGTGAGTTCTCACTTATTTTCCCCTTCTGGGTTCTTCTGTTGGACTCAACCCTCATGTGTATCCCCCACCCATGTGCCATTAGTATCTGATGTATGAGAGTGACACCATCTACTTTTGGGCCACAAAGTGGGGGACAATTAAACCTAGGAACGTCAAGGTCCTTGACACTGGACACTGACCCTAGTTTGCACACCTGTACCCATTAGGAGCACCTGTCCTAACACAAAGTATAGCCATACCTCTGACCAGGAGACTGTTAAGGGCCAGCACAGATATCTGCCCTTTCCTAGTTAAAAGGAACGAGGCTGGGAGCCAAGGGCCAGCTGAATATCTGGAGATATGGCAAGATATTGCAGGGAGATGTGAGAAGCAGGTGGCAAGCCCTAACAGGCTCGCACACCTCACTCCCTGCGGGGGCCTACGGCTTGAGTCAGGGAGCTTGCTTTCTGAGGAAGCCTCCAGTTTTGCCCAGCATGAGTGGTGGGCTGGGCATGGTTGCGGCACTGAAGTCATGGGGCAATGGTGGGAGTAGCAAGCAGAGGCCTGTAGGGCAGGGGGGGAACAGCCAAGAGCTGTAAACTCTGTTACGGCAGCCAGGGCCTGGCAGAAAGGGGAGCTGCCCTTTCCTCCCCAGCTGCGATTGGAACTTTTGGTGATCCTGGGATCAGAATATGAAGTCAGAGATAAAAAAGCTAAGAGTATACTTACACTATGTAAAAATCAAACAGTGTATAAATCCTCACCTGGCTAGAAACTAAAGTATTTAAAAGGCCTAGGGGTGGGGATGGTGGTGTTGGCCCAATCCCTTCAGCTGACACCCACAAATCTTGAGCCCTCTGTAAGTATAAAGGGTGAAAGAAAGCCAGCGTCAGCAAAGAATGAGATTTCAGGCTTAATCTTCTGCGCCGGTTCCTTATTCATTATCTACACCAGGAATTCTTAACTTTTCATGGATCACAGATGCCCTTGACAATCTTTTAATATGGACTCTATCCCTAGAAAAATGCACATATCCCACTGACAAAATTTGGGGGTATTTTGCATGTAAATTCAGGTGGCTTAGGGAAACCTTGGACATGGGTTAAGAGCCCTTCTATCATGTAGTATTTGGAATTCAAAGGCAGGGATGGGAAGTCTGAATGTCAGCTGAACAAGGACTGGAGGATTCAGATGACAAAACTGGAGGGAAAGGGAGAAGCATTACCCTCATCCTCTGTGTCTTCCCCATTGGTCAGCTCATAGAGAGTGAACACGGAGTTGTTCTGGCCACTCCTGGAAACCTATAGACACAGAAAACAGTGACTGAATAAGGACCAGGGATCTCCTGGAAGGTGAGCTCACTGACTCCACCTATCTGACCCACGAATGATACCTGTTCCCAAACCAGGGCTCACTGTCACCTCGGCAGGAGTGGCCTAAAAACCACAACCCCTACAGGTGCTATATTTATACGTGTACACACATATACGGAACCACTAAACCACAGGCCTTCACATGTCTGAGGAGTGACCTCTCATTTTGTTTTCCTGTTCAGGAATAGGTGGCATGTGTTTGTTATATTTAGGTTGTTGATGCTTCTTCCCCTCTTCTCTCCCTTGGGAAAGTTTAGGGCTGGTGGTGGCTAGGAATTTGGGGAAGACAGTTTGTCCCCACACCCATACTGGTTCAGAATGTCTCATTCATATTGTGGACAGCCCCAAAGCGCCTAGTGGGGGAGGGGCCCCAGGGTTGTTTTTGTTTTTTTTTTGTTTTTTTTTTTT